TCATGTTTTTTATTCCCTAAATAGGAGTAAATTTTTTCCAAGTTTGGGCATTACAAGGCTTTCAACATGACATTTTTTCCAAACTTGGCAGATTACTCCTATGGTGGCACCAGTGAGGAGGTGGCGTATGGCGGCGCCGGTGGGGGTGCAACAGTAGACCTCTCTGACTAGGATGGTGGCAACATGGGGTGATTGCGGCAGCAGGGGCAATGTTGGTAGCAGTCCGATTGCTAGAGTTGAAATTTTTAGAGTTTTAGCAATTTTATTTTACATATTTAATTATTGAAACAAAATTTCATTAAGGGCATATTTGTACAAGAAGGTGGTTTTAAGTGCTATGAAACGTAATTTCAAATGAAAGTCCTATTTGGACAATTATCTTCTATTTTAGTTCCATTTAAGGAATTAACTCTATGAACCTCTCCTGAAATTTAAATTCGGCGCATAAGTCCTCTGTGATTTAAAAAATGCGTCAACACCCCCCTCCCCCCGTGTTATGATTAATCATGCGCGAAACCCCCTCTAAGAACAAATTTTACAATTTTGAAAACACTTTTTTAATAATATGGATGAATATGCTAGTAATTTTGTCAAAATTTCTAAATTATACAAAAGAAACTAACCATTTTTCATTTTTTTGGAAATTAATTTGTTCTTGGAGGGGGTTTGGCGCATGATTAATTATAAGTTTAAAGCACCATGGGGTTTGACGCATTTTTTAAATCACAGGGGATTAATGTACCAAATTTTTATTTGACGAGAGGGTTTGGTGCATTAAACCGGATGACTCCCAACCTCAACTGAAACCCAAATACCCAATCCATCTTTTCGATAACTTCACATGGGACATTATAATTTTAACATAATTAATACTCATCACCAGTGCACCCATTTCATTAATAATTTGATTCAATCAAATTCACTCTTTGAAAAGGACAATTTACTTATTGGTGTGGCCTAGGAAATGAGATGTATAAATTTGGTATTATTATCAACTCACATTTTTTTAATATTTTATGTAAGTTTAATGCACCAAACCCCCTCGTGATATAGAAATTTAGCGCATTAGCCCCCTGTGATTTGAAAAATGCGTCAAACTCCCTTGTGTTTTAATTAATTATGCACAGAACACATTTTATGAATAAATTTAACGATTTGGAAATCACTTTTTCTAATATTTTGTTTGAATATCAAGTAAATATGTCAAAATCTCTAATCATACAGAAATGTTAATCATTTTGCTTTTATTTGACAATTGACTTTGTTCATAGAAGGGATTTTGCGCATAATTAATTAAAACACAAGGGAGTTTAAAGCATTTTTTAAATCATAGGGGGTTAATGCACCGAATTTCCATATCACAGGGGAGTTTGGTAATCCTCCAATAAAGTCCATGCTGATATATGTCCATATACTGCTAGGAATAGGTAAAGGTTGTAGTAAACCAGTAGGTTTAAGGGCTTGGTACTTGTTGGTTTGGCATATAGCACACTCCTCCACATATTTTTTAATGTCACTCCTCATTCCTTGCCAGTAAAACAACCCTTCTATTCTCTTCATAGTTCTGAAGTATCCAGAATGTCCTCCCATAGCTGAATCATGGTATTCTTTCAATATTTTCAGAACTCTAGCAGACCCTTTTGGTAACACCAATCTCTTCTTGTAGTATAACAGGCCTTTAATGATCTGAAATTCTTTGTTTCTGTCTGGATAAGAAATAACTTTCTGAATTATTTCTTGAGTTTTAGGGTCTGCACTCAGTTCCTCTTGGCAACTAACAACTGACAATGATTGGAAAGTATGCTTTCTGGATAAGGCATTGGCAGCCTTATTCTCCACACCAGGTCTATATCTTATGGTAAAATTATATCTTATGTCCAATTTTGCTTTTCTTCCCCCATGAGTCTTTGTTCAGTAAGAAACTTCAAGCTTTTCTGATATGTGTGAACCTCAAAATGTCTGCCAAGTAAATAGGGCCTCCATTTTTGTATTGCTAAGACTACTGCCATCAACTCCCTTTCATACACTGACTTCATCTGATTCCTTGGTGACAATTCCTTGCTCATATAAGAAACTGGTCTCCCCTCTTGCATCAGGACTGCCCCCATACCTGTTCCTGATGCATCAGTCTCAACTACAAACAGTTTGTTGAAATCAGGTATTGCTAAAAGTGGTAAGGTTGTCATCATTTTTTTCAGTTCTTCAAAAGCTTGTCTTGCTTCTCCATTCCAGTAGAAATTATCCTTCTTCAATAGCTGTGTAAGAGGAAAAGCGATTTTGCTATATCCTTTTACAAACTTCCGGTAGTAACCTGTTAGCCCAAGAAATCCCCTCAACCCTTTTAGGTCTTTTGGTTCAAGCCAGTTCAGCATAGCTTCAATTTTTGTTAGATCAGCTGACACCCCTTGTCCCGAAATGATATGACCCAAATATACCAACTCAGATTTTCCAAAGGAACATTTCTTCAAGTTAATCTTCAATTGATTTTCCAAAGGAACATCTTTTTATGTTCTTCATATGACTTACTGTAAATCAGAATGTCATCAAAAAAATACTAGGGTAAACCTTCTTAGGAAAGGTCTCAATACCTGATTCTTGAGTGCCTAAAAAGTAGAGGGAGCATTTGACAGTCCAAAAGGCATCACAAGATACTCATAATGACCCTCATGTGTTCTAAATGCACTCTTCTTCCTATCCTCCTCCCTCATTCTTATTTGATGATAGCCAGATTTCAGATCTAGTTTTGAAAATATTCTGGCTCCACCCATTCATCCAATAACTCTTCAATAACAGGTATTGGGAATTTATTTGGAATAGTTATCTTGTTTAATGCCCTGTAATCCCCACAGAACCTTCAACCCCCATCATTCTTCTTAGCCAAAAGTATGGGACTGTTGTAGGGGCTGTTACTAAACTGAATTATTCCAAAATCCAACATATCCTGTATAATCTTCTCTATTTCAGTCTTTTGGTATTGTGGATATTTGTAAGGTCTAATATTAGGTATATTAGCACCTTCTTGTATATTAATGGAGTGATCACAGATTCTGGAAGGTGGTAACCCTTGCAAGGGTTGTGTTATATCTGGGAATTCAGCTAAGATACTTTCCCAGGTTGTCTCCATGTCATTTTCCTTATCCTTTGGTCTTAAATTCCCTTCACAATATACAAGATATCCATCACCGTTATCTTGTAGAATCTGTGTTAATGTTTTCAAAGAGACTTCCATGGAATTTAAGGTAGGATCTCCTTGAATTGAATGATTGACCCCTAGATTTTTCCATCTAATAGTTTGTCTCTGAAAGTTTATGTTTACATGATAGATTTTTCCATGGGAGATTTTTCCATGGGAGATTTTTCCATCTCCCAAACTGGTTAGCCATTCCATTCCCAACACTAAATCAATTCCTCCCAAGTTAAGGATATAAAAATCTTGTTTAATATCAATATTTGACAATCTCAGTACAATATCCTCACACCTTCCATCATTGGAAATCTGTTCCCCATTACCAATTTGCAACTTATAACCTGAGATAGTATTAAAACGTAGCTCCAGTTCATTTACCAATTTCTGAGAGATGAAATTGTGAGTAGCTCCACTATCAATCAACACTTCCACTATTTTCTCTCCTCTATTCCACTTCAAGGTGCCCTGAATCTTGAAAGCTCTCATTGTAGGGATCCCTTCCTTGCTCATGAGTGACAATTGCATAGATTTTGATTCCATTTTTACCTCCTCTTCAGTGATTTCAGGATCTGAATCTTCTGTTTCTTCTTCAGTATCTGAGTCTTCCACCAGCATTAGTTTATAATGTTTCAACTTACAGGTATGTTCTCGATTCCATTTCTCTCCACATTTAAAACAGAGTCCTTTTTTGCTTCTCTCCTGGAATTCTTCTTGAGATAATTGGGGCCCAACCTTCCTAATCCCTGAAGTTTGTATATCTGTTACCTTCTTCCCCATATTGTCAACCCATGAGTTAAAATTTCTGTTATCAGCTGTTCCCTTACTTTGACTGTGGAATCCAGAACTACCATATCTGGCTTTAGAATTGTCTCCCCAATTGTTAGTTCTGGTATTTATTGGTCTCTTATCCTTTCCCCCACTTGAATCATCCTCTTGTCTCTTCAAATGTGCAGCTTCATTTTTTCTCTCTATCAACAATGCTACATCCATAACCTCAGCTAGAGTTCTGGGGTTATATAGTTTCAATTCAGCCATCACTTCATTCTTCAATCCTGTGATAAAGATTCCTCTCAATATTTCCCTGTCCACAGTCCTTTGAGGTGCTATAGTCAATTCAAATTTATCCCTATAATCACTCACAGTACCAGTTTGTCTGGAATCTGCGTATCACAGACTCCTTCAAAGTTTCCCAGTTCTCCTCCTTCGTTTGGTGTTCCCACCATTGAAACCAGTTTAGAGGTCTTTCTTCCATAACCAATACTGACACCTCAAGTTTATCCCCCTCAGCATACGAATTAACCTGTTATAGGCCCTGTTTCCATTAAATAATGGTAAATCCACCTTACGAGCAGTCTGAATATGAAAACGATGGTGATTATCACCATGTCTATTCTCACGATGAGTAGTATGTACTGAATTACCTCTCGAAGTAATCGGGTTGTGCGAATGTTGTGATCGACTGCGATGTTGAGATCGCGATCTCCCTTGCTCGCGGAATTCCTCCCTCGATCCTGCCAATCCTCCTGTCATCGCAACCATCATCGCATCAATCCTCGCCTCCATTTGCAGAATACTTTCCTCCATCGTAATTCAACTATGTTCAACCGATTCCAAACGTTGTTCCATTTTCGCTCACGTTCAAATCATCCACAGCTGAGAACGACAGAATTCAAGTGCAGTAGCGATAACTTCAGGTCACCAGAAACGATTTGCTCTGATACCAATGATAGAACACTGGTATGAATCAGAATGAAATATCAACAATATAAGGAAATTCTACTGATAGAACAGATAGAATGAGAAATTCATTGAAATCGGATCAAGCCTTGGGACAATTAGACAAGCCCACTCTCCAAGCAACCAACCACTGAAATAACAACCTAACTTAATAAGCCAACACCCCCCTTATTCTTCCACGCAGAGAAAGTACACTAGTTTATTAGACTGACTTAATAACTAGCAAAGTACAACTACCCCCCTTATTCCTCCTTTGGTACACTTTATTGAAGTATTTAATAGGCTGATCCCTCGCAATCGTATCATTGTACATGTAGAACAGTAGAAGTGGTCTTCAATTAGACATAAACCAAAATGACAAGAAAAAATGGAACTCAAAACTAATTAGATAGTACTACGTAGTAATTAATTTCTCATCCACTTGGGTGGCTCATCAAGATATTTTACTGAAGAAGTCTCCTCCTTGCCTTAGCTGCCTGCAAATCCAAAACCAACCCGCCAAAATATTATATGAAGCGACAGCGCGTTACAACACTAAAACCCCAGAATAAATTGAGCAATACTAAATAGACATTTTTTTGGTACATTATATACATACATTCTTATGTGGCATGAATGTATTAAATATTGAAAAGTTAGAGAACTTTATAACATCCAAATGATGCAAGTCACATAGGAATGTATAGAAAGGATGCACCACAAAAATGTGCCCCAATCTCTACTATCCCACAACCTCATTTTCATGGTTGATGCTAATTAAGGTTGCCACTAGGTACCTGTGTGTTCCAATTTGTGCAACTTGTTATTATGGATAGCATAACCGTCTGCATAACAGAACCACACATAATTCCAACCCAAAGACCCTTTCCTCTCACGTGAAACCAGAAAGCCAGTGATGCAGCAATTGGAATTCCACATAGATAGAATGAAGCCAGGTTGACTAACGCTCCTATATGCTGCAACCCACACCCTCGAGCAACACCTATTATATATAGCTCCCACGATCATTGGCATAGAGAGAGAGAGAGAGAGAGAGAGAGAGAGAGTTTGGATCAAATATAAAAAAGGTATTAATGTGTAAAACAAGAATTAATCGCAGCTATCCAAAGAGTCAATTTGATGCACAATAAACTTTACCTGATGCACTTTTCCAATATTTACGAAAATACCACTACGTATAGATGTTGGAAAAGTGGATCAGAAAAGGTTATTCGGAAAGTGCATCGGATAAGGTTTATTCGAGAAGTGCATTAGATAAGGGTTATTGTGCATCAAATAACAATTTGGACATCTGAGATTAATTCTTATTTTACACGTTAATTCTTATATATATAGGGGAGCGTTCAACTAAAAAGGAGGCTTAATGTGTGTGTGTGTGCCAATATATCATAATTTGTATTTATTCCTGTCTAGGGGGTGATATGTAAGTAATGTGAAACGAGCCATGAGCGGTATACAAAAATATTCATCCTTACGGCTACACAACCGAAACTGGTTAGTGATCAAAAGTTAGGGTCTGGTTGGCATAGTTGTGACTTTTAAGCCACTGTTTTTTTGCTTTATCTCAAAACTCTCTTTGGTAATTCTTTCTTTGGGTGGTGTGACTGGAAACACACAACTATAAAAGACCTTTAGGATTTGTTTGGATGGAAGGTTTGGATAATAATATTTTAATCTTCCAATTTAATAATAATAATGTGGAGCATTAATTTATTATTATTTGGAGGGGATAGGGTCTTACAATTTTATAATATCTTAAATATATATATAAATATATATGTGCATATATGCAACGATAATATCATATTTATGGATCTAATGGTTCATTGAATTTATGAATATATTATTCCATATTTCAATATCAATATCGAACAATTTCTGGAGGGAAAAACAATGTTTTGTATGTCTTTTTTTGTTTTTTGGGGGGGAAAGAGAATGAGATCACTAATATTTTTCGTTATTTTTCCATAGCTATTGAAATGTTTTTATTTTTCAATATTTGTTTATAATTTTCAACTTTTCTTCAAAATACCAAAATAGCTCTGTTACCCCTGGTATCAATATAGGTGACCTAAAATATGAAATTTTGATGTAAATATCAGGATATTTCCATCCTTGCGTATTGTTTCGATATATATAGACTAATCCCTACAAAACACTCAAATATACTTCGTAAATCACAGATTCACAAATTTAGAAATTACTGAACAGTTTTTTTCACATCAGAGCTAAACTGATTCAAGTGGAGTTTGTACCTGAAAGGGTCCCTTGAAGGCTATCACTTATGACCGATAGACAGAGGAGAGGGGCAATATCTGCAACATAGTACACCACTTCCTTCTCATTGCTAAAAACATAGCCAAATACGTTCCGACAAGCAAAGAGGGTTGCGCTTACTATAACACCCTCTGACACAGAAATGAGCATCACACACAAGACAGCCAAACGAGCCCCCTGTGGGTTTCCCGCTCCCAACTCATTAGATACTCTAGTGCTGCAAACAAAAATAACAGTTGTAATTTTGCAGGAATGTTTTGGTAGATGACAACGGTTTTAGTTTTGTTTTTAGGGCCTGTTTGGTAAGGGCCATTCAACTTAAATGACTGACTACTGCTGAATTTTCACAATGTTTGGTAATATCCATTTAACAAAATAAGGGGAAAGTTCCGTGATAAGCATAATAAGCCGATTACGGCTACCAAACAGAGCCTTGGGGGTTTGATTGAAGCTTAGTGATACCTTACAGCACCGGAAAGCCCATATGGAATTGCAAAAATTGTGCCGACAGTGTTCAGGCTGGCAAATAACATCAGAGTTAGTTATATTAATGCCTTTAGTAAATAAATTAACAGTTTTCATTAATATTCTGTGAAGCTGAACATACCATACAGATAAAACTGAAGTTTCTAGTTGTGGATTTGGCAGTAGACCAGACAGCAGCACAAGCAGCTCATATGACCACCACTCAAGACTGTCAGAGAGACAGACATAAGTCAACAATAGTCTCTAAAGTTCACTGTTTTAATACCATCCTGGCAATAAAGCACAAAGCTACAAAAGACCTGGTCAAATATAACCACTTATTATTTCTCAAATAATTGACCAAAACACATTTCAAGTTCTGAATTTGACAATAAACGCAACATTAAACCAAAAGTTTGAAAAGGCTTTATATTATACAGGCTGAGTGTGATAGGTTCAAAAGGTGCATGGTTCAATCAAATTAAATATAAGAGAGGGGCTTAAAAGAATAGTTTAGAAATTAAACCGTCCAATGTAAAAGCATGGAAAAGTATACATATTTAATAAAGCAAAATAAAATGCCATGGAGGCATGGACTCAATAGAATAACTTTTAAAAACAAGAGGCCATAGATTGGAATCTGAATGACTACGATGAAAAGGTTGACTAGAAATTTCTCAAAAATAAATTACTCTCAATAGTACTTTTCAGCATACATAGCATTATGCATGGGGCGATAAGGGTATGTGATGGCATTGTATTACGCTTAATATAACTGCAGGGAGTGAGGGGGAGGTGGACAGCTAACCAAATCATGATGGCTGACGGAACGGCATATCTGAAAAACTCCTTCACTCCATGAAAGATTTCCCAGGTAATAGTCGAACGAGTTTTGTCACAAGCAGGAGAGAACCTCATGTATAAAGATAGGAGTATCACATTCACCCACATAGACACACCAATAGCGACAGCAGCCCCAAGATTACTCAAGCCGGACTTAAACACCATCACCCAACATAGAGCCACATGGAAGCACATTGTTATGAATGAGCTCATGAGCATGGGAAAGATCAAACTTTGCACCTGAAAAAATCTTACGAGAGGCTGTAAGGTCGAATAAGCGAATAAGGCCGGAATGAGCCACTTTAAGAACCTTCCGGCTTCTTCTGCTATAAGAGGATCTTGGCCTATGAAGACTAACACTTTTCCCATATGGGTCCACAAGAGTGCGAGGGGGATGCATACGATAAAAAGGCAGAAAATGGCAGTGTACATTTGTTTTCCAAGTTTGTGGTACTGTTTGGCTCCGTAGGCCTGCCCACTAAGTGTTTCCAGAGCACTTGCCATTCCTAACTGTTTAGATAGAAAAAATATTAATCACAAGATACACAGGATACTTATAGTTAGTAATACAGAGCTTTTATATTTCAGAATATTAGAGTATTTCAGAATCGGAGGAGTTATAATATCTATTCACTTCTGTTTTTCAATATTATAATGTTACTAACTAATTGGATCTTATTTGTTGCTAGTTCAACCGAAGGTCTTATTAACCCCATCGTTCTCTCTTTATTTTTCTGGTGTGAGATTCTAAGACAATTTTATGGCAATTGAGATCGGATCATGTTCGGAGCTCTTTGTCTACACACTATTTACATTCCTCAAAATCTCTAGCACAGTGGCACTACCGCTTTGCTTATTCACTTCTTATTCAAAATTACAGGTTATATGTGTCTGTCTGGTAAGCATGTGTTTCTAACAGAATGTACTGAAAATTGTTCTCTCAAAAGACACTTTAGTCTTTTCTATCAGCTAACAAAAAGGAAAATCCAAAATCTTTGTCCTAGGAACAACTGAGTTTTCCATGCCACATTTATCATGAAAATGAAAAAGAATAACCAGCTATGAGCTATAAAACTTTTGGTACGGTTGTATTGCATATATGCTATCTTAAAAGGATTTCACTTTTTTCCGAACTAAATTGCAATCACACAATTTTAGTTTCGTAATCCCGTGCCAAAAACAAGCAGGAAGATTAATTTGCGACGAAGGAATCGTAGTTTAGATGTAAGTAGAGATTTTTTTTTAAAGTCGTACTTTATGTTATACGGAGTACTATCTTATCTTACATTATGAAACTGGTTGTATTTAATTAGTAATTTTCTGATCTGATTGTATTATGTTTCCTAGTCTTACTATGAAGTATTCTTATTTGTGAAGCTGTGGAGTCTTCTGTAATCTGTATACATACACCTCTCAAGTCATTCCAATTCACTTGAATACTCCGTACGATGTTTTTCAATCTCTATAGATAAACTCTGTTTGATTATAGGAAAGTAGTTTCCTAGAAACTGTCTCTATACGTGCCAATACTAATCAATAGGAACTTTTGTTGAAAATGACATCTCATTTTAAGAACGGAAGCCATTTTCATGAAACAGCTTCGCCTTTGGTAATTTTGTGTGGAATAAACATTATATGTATCCATAGAGTCATAGAGAACATCTTAATCTTCAGAAAAAAACATTTCCAATGTAAAATATATTACAGGGAGTGCAAAGAAATACATTTTCTACATCAACTCAAATTGGGTGCAAACTCAAATTACAAGAATTTAATGAAAAAGAATGTGTACTCACAAGAAAACTGAAGCCAGTGACATTAGCAAGAGAGACAGCTATGGAGGTGCTGGAGAGAAAAATCTCACCCAAATGCCCAACGATCATAACAGAAATGATGGGTAATAGATACTGAGATAAAGTCACGGCCACCATTGGACCTGCCAGGTACCCCAACCTTTTCACTTCCGCCCAAACAGACCCCAACCGTATCCCACCACCCTCTTCGCTCTCCTTCAGCAACAGCAACCCGTCCTCCATTCTGGGTTTCTTACAATTACTGTGTTAAAATTTCTTTGTAGATTTGTACTCCGTGAGACTGAGGAATATAAAAAATAAGGACTCAAATAAATGGAACAATGGACAATGGAGGAGATTCAAGCAGTGTCAGTGTCTGGGGTTGCTTAAAAAAAAAAAAAGCTTTTCATCTTTTGGTTTAAAAAAAGCTAAAAAGAGTGTTTTCAAATGACAGCTTCTGCTTAAATTAATCACTTAAAATCTAAAAGCTGGAAGCAGGCGGAAGGGTGCTTTAAACTGCTTTTCACTTTTTCTATTACACAAAAAGTACTTATTTTACCAAACATTACCAACTTTTACTTTTTCAGAATCACTTTTTTCTCAAACACTACCAACTTTTACTATTAATCACTTTTCCCAAAATCACTTTAAAAAATCACTTTTTTAAAGTTGAAGCAATTGTAAACACTCCCTCATAATCCTTATCTTATCTAAACTGGATCATAATCCGTATCTTATATCCTGACCGCCAAAGTTTGAGCAAAATAATTGTAGACTAGTAGGTGGCATACTTTTTACTGAGCTAATTAATCTTCAAATGTAATTAATGAGAAAGGTTTGACATTTGATACATTTTGATGGCAAGTGGGTATTAAAAATTAGTACTCCGTAGTAGTCAGTGGAGGACCTAGAGGGCCTAGCTAGGGGGCAAGCCGGCAAGTGTTAGAAATAGCAAAAATTCTATAGGTACCCCAAATTGTACCCACCCCCCTGAATTGCCTGTGTACACAGGCAATTCGTTTGAAAGAGGGCAAAACTTTCTACCCAAATGTCTGTGTACACAGACGGTGTACACTTTGGGGTACAAATTGGGGTACCCCAAGCAGCTCTCTAGAAATAGTATTAGGAGTGGCTCCTATTAGGTCGGCTTGACAGGACCCGACGTGCGGTCAAGCCCGTTTGAGAATCTTCCTAGTAAAATTTTCTGATAAATTTTTTTGAATATCTTCTTTATCAAGTTTAATTTACTCATGTCAAATTTCAGCTAAAATTTCAATCAATATGATTGTTAAATGAATTTTTGAAAAAATACTACTCTGTTTATATATATTAACAGCGCAGTGTTCTTAAATAATTTATTTGACTGACTTCCCAGTTGAGTTTTAAGTTGAGATTTGATATGGATAAACTAGACTTGATGAGGAGCATGCTCAAAGCATTTTATCAAAAAAAAACCACTTGAAAAACCCTCAAACGGGTTCGGCCGGGCGACTACCCCGGTCTGGCCGGCATGACATGAAGTTTCATCATAGTATTAGTATTAATACTAGTATTAGATGAGATAATAATCCTGTCAAAGAGCACATGGAAATTGTTATAAGACATTTAAACAATTATGAAATTATGATGTGAGTGTTTGCTTGTGATTAGACATGTTGTTGATACAAGCATTATTTGAAAAGTGGCATTGATGGTATTTTTACGAAGTATGAATTGCCTTTGTTCATAATTAAAGGTCAATGATCTGATAAGACTACTAATATACATGGTGAACTTAATGATTTGAAGATTCTAATCTCTAATGAAAAATGAAAGTACATACACAAGATATATTCATTCTTTTCACACCATTTCAATGATTTATTGTGGATGTTGCATAAAAAGAAGTTTGTGGATAACTTTTTAAAATATTTGTCCATGACTACTAAAATGGTGAAATCGTATGATAGTTCACATTTTAGAACTATTGCTCCTATTCTTTGTATGTGATCTTCTATAATGTAAGTTTATATATGACAATATATTTGACGATAGTACTTATTTAAAATCAAAGAGCATTGTAATCGATGAACGTTGGTATTTTAACTCGTGCAGTGCACGGGGTAAAAGATGTTATGTAGTATTGTTTTTAGTTTTATTCTTAAACGTAGAGAAAAATATTTGAAGATGCTAGTGTCGTTTCATATTATCTAAAGAGAATGGACAACTAAATAAATATATTGATATCAAAATTTGATCTCTAATTGGTTCATTGATACATAAAACTCAATTCAGTTTTATCCAAATGAAATCACTTTTTTCCAAAGGGGATAAGAGTACTTTTCCTCCAACTCGTTGACATCTTGTTGTTTCTCCAAATCATGTTGAATAAACTTGTTAACCACTCGACGCCTCTCTCCCCCAAACTTCACCATTTTGAAGAAACATCGTGGCACACCACATTTATTGTGGACATACTTTACGTGTCATCACGGTTGCATATATGACTTGTGACATAGAAACATATAGTTGACATAATGAAGTGATACGATTATTAAGAAAAATGAGTTTATGTGGTTGTTATTAAATTGATAAAGCAATAATAAAGTTAGAATAATTTAGAATCACACAAATGTTCCTAAATTTGATATGAGACAATCATAATGAGACGGGCCGAAAAGGAAAGTTGAGACAAATCTAGTGGGACAGATGGAGTAACAAAGTTCATTAAGAATAATCCGACTTAAGAAAGGAACTACCTCTGACTTTTATTGATTGTCACTGCTAGGGGTGGGTGCGGTCCGGAACGGTCCGGTAAATTAGCAAAACCTGTAATGTATCCGTGAGGTTTCTAACGGTTCGGTACGGTCTGGTTCTAAGGATAGAATCATTCGGTACCATGTTGTTTCGGAACAGTACAAAACGGTTCGGTACAATGCTAAACACATGCTGAAACATTTGAACAAATTTTGCAATTAGTAGATATCATCACGCGAGCCAATTGACGTGAAATTTTGATAAAAATACTAGAAAGTGCATACTAAATACTAGAAAAGATTCAAGAGGTTGACATTTTTGTATTTAAATTCAAACACACTCAAACAGTGAAATAAATTTTGTAGAAAATATTGCAAAATGACAATATACTATCGTATAATATCATCTTTATGAAATTCACTAGAACATATAAAAAGAATATCGTTAAATTATTGAACAGAATACAAACATTTAATGTTCTTCTTCTTTGTTCTAAGCTGAATATTAATTCTAATATAGTTCATAGTTGAACCATAAGAGTTGTGATTCAAACCATATTAATTAAGTTATAAAACTACACAAATATGATACTTCGTCCGTCCCACTATGATTGTCTCATTTCACCATTGCAGTCCGTCTCACTAAGATTGTCTCATACCTTCTTTGGTAAAGTTATGTGATTCTAAATCATTCTTACTTTATTCTTACTTTATCAATTCAATATCAATCACATAAACCCACTTTTATTAATAACTGTGCCACCTTTTCTTGTCCCAAACTTAGGGGGCGGAGGTAGTACAACAAAAGTCACATACACTACATTACTAGAAATTAATAGTCATGAATGTTTTTTAAAACTTTGACATTCTTTCATTATATACCAAATATAACATAAATTAATTATCTAAAAGGAAAAAACAATACTCCGTAATATTTATATAACACACACCTATGATACATACTTGAGCTATAAAGTTGTTGGTCTATAAAAGATATTTATGTGTACATAAAAATATAAAAAAATCTCAAAGACATTATTTTTGAACGGTTCGGTCGGGTATTTTTCGGTTCTCAAAATCTAGGACTGGTCTCATACACGTTTTGTTGAGGTTTATTCCTTCAACCTCCAGACCCAACACGTAAGCCCAAAGGTTTCGAATGGAGTGTGTGTGAATAAACTAGCCCAATCAAGCAGTTAACAGGGGTCAAGAAACAGTAAGATAGCAAGTAAGTGATTAGGTATTATTATCTCTTAATAACTCCCTAATACAATACTTTTCGCTAAGGCTCCGTCGGCCGTTCGTCTTACAAGGCAGTAGAAGTGCTGCGAGTAAGAATGCTATAGCTAGAGTGCTAAGAATAGAAAGTTGCCAACCCTTTACAATGAAATAAATGCTTCTATTTATACCCGCCAATGGGCAGGTGGCTATGCTGACGTGGAGGCCTGTGGACCGCTTGTGTCCCAACCACCAAATCTTCTGCATTAAATGCACTTCCCGCCAGAATCTAGGTTTCCCGCCTAAATAATGGGGACGTTCGTCCGCCTGGGAGCGAGCTGGGTCGCTCCAAGTGATCCTCAAGAGGTTTCGGCTGTTCGTCTCCTGGCCTTGGATTCTCTCCATGTGGACTGGATTTCCTCCGACGATCATGGGCCTGCTTAAGAGGCGTTCGTCGCCATCCTTGATGGCCCGTGATCCTGCTCCTTGTCCCCTCACAGACGTTCGTCGCGATGGGCCATTGAGCCTAAGAACCCCTCAACACAAGATGTTCGTCCCTTTCCAAAGAACATGGGCCTGCGGCTAACCTTGTGTCCTAACTGGTCGTGCGTCTGGTAGAAAGGGGTTAATGGGCCGGACCTCGGTTTGGGCCATTAACCCAACACAAGTCCCCCACTTCTGATGTTCTGAGCATGCGCAGGACATAAGGAAGTATGAAGTCCCCCGAAGTAGACGTTCGTGTCTTGATACTTGTGTTTATTGCATCCGGCGGATGCGTACGCTCGTGGTCATGGTGTGTAACACCCCGGCCCCACCGGACCCTAGGTAGTTACTCCGGACCAATAGTACTGTCCCCACAAACCACCACGAGCCATTACCACGCACTTTGTCCTCACTCATGCGCGCCCTGAGAAACTTCTCAGGGCGCGCATGAGTGAGGACAAAGTGCGTGGTAAAGGCTCGTGGTGGTTTGTGGGGACAGTACTATTGGTCCGGAGTAACTACCTAGGGTCCGGTGGGGCCGGGGTGTTACAGGTGGTATCAGAGCAACCCTGCGACAGTGTGTTGATCCGTTGGATATCGGGCACGCACTTAGTAGGGGAAAAGATTCTGGGGTTTGATTGAGATTAGTTGAAGGGCGCAATGAGGACGTTGCGATCCTAAGTGGGGGTGATTGTAATATCCAAGATTTAATATAAACGGATTAATAGTACTACTCATACCAACAGAGGTGCATCTCCTTTTAAGGGAGCTCATTACCTAAGAACTCCAAAGTTAAGCGTGCTTGCTCGGGAGTAGTCTTGGGATGGGTGACCCCCTGAGAAGTTTCTCAGGGCGCGCATGAGTGAGGACAAAGTGCGTGGTAAAGGCTCGTGGTGGTTTGTGGGGACAGTACTATTGGTCCGGAGTAACTACCTAGGGTCCG